ATTATTATATTTTCGCTCATATAATAGCATATAAGTTTTCTCATTATATTATGCAAATATATTAAAATGACATCATAATTTTAAATTTTGCAATAACTTTACGAAACTACAAATATGTAATATTCATATTGTATTTTATATACGTTTTAGTTATTAATTATTTTTAATATCAAATTTTAGTTATTTGTAAATTATATATATTCCTACTCTAGACTCATCTTTTAATATTTCTTTTTTTTAATTCCGAATTTTCTGTAAATTGTATTTCTAAATAGACTCTAGGCTCTTCTTCCAATATTATTTATTTTTATTTCTAAATTTTTATTATTTCTAATTGTATTTCTATGTGGACTCTAAACTCATCTTTCAATATTCTTTAATTTTTAATTTTGAATTTCAGTTACTTCTAAATTGTATTCCTATATTGACTTTAAACTCTTCTTCCCTTGTTTTTCTTAATTTTGAATTTTAGTTATTTGTAAATTGTATTTTTATACGGACTCAAAACTCTACTTTTAATTTTATTATGTTTATTCTGAATTTTAGTTTGTTTTAAATTCTTATATGGACTTTATACTCTACTTCTAATATTCCTTATTTTTTAATTCCGAATTTCTATTTTTTTTCTTAATTGTATTTCTATATATGGACTCTATACTCTACTTCTAATATTCCTTATTTTTAATTCCGAATTTCTATTATTTTCTAATTGTATTTTTGTATGGACTCCATACTCTACTTCTAATATTCCTTATTTTTAATTCCGAATTTTAGTTATTTCCTAATTGTATTTCTATATGGACTCTAGTCTCCTCTTCTAATATTCCTTATTTTTTAATTCTGAATTTCAGCTATTTCTAAATTGTATTTCTATATGGACTCTGTTTTTTCTTTTTCTCCGATTAATATGAGAATTTCTAGGCCATGAGAGCGAACGTGGAGGTTCCTTTTTCTATTCCTTTAATAATATAATAGATAGATAGGTATTTAACCATTACTATAAGATTTAGTTAAACTTTACTTCTCAAATTAATGCTTACTGTGAAAAAAGTATGATTAGATTTGTTTTTAAAAGTAAGGTAAAAAAGTATCACAAACTTATTCTAATATATATATATATATATATATATAGTTATTAAAGTTTTAAATTTTTACGACCGAAGAGATAGGTCTGTATTGGTTGGGTCGGATTTTGCAACCACACGCGACAAGATCGATGGATCACACAACGATAATAATTCAGGACGCAAAGCTCATTTGCCTTAGCTGGGATTGAGGGGAGATGAAATTAAGAGAACAATGAGATGATAGATGAGCCATTAACATATGATTAATTAAAAAAACCTATAGATTTTTTTTAAAACATACCGTTTACCGTTTAGTACTTCGGAAAATATGTGCATGAAGAATGAGAGAAATCTTTTATGTTTTTACTGTAAGGACCTGGACCTGTTTAGTTCGAAAAAGAAAATTTTTAGGTATCACATTAGACGTTTGACCGGATGTCGGAAGGGGTTTTCGGACACGAATAGAAAAAACTAATTTCATAACTCGCCTAGAAACCACGAGACGAATCTTTTAAGTCTAATTAATCCGTCATTAGCACATGTTGGTTACTGTAGCACTTATGGCTAATCATGGACTAATTAGGCTTAAAAAATTCGTCTCGCGATTTCCCCCTAACTGTGCAATTAGTTTTCTAAAAAATCTATATTTAATGCTTCATACATGTATCCAAAGATTTGATGTGATGTTTTTGGGAAAAACTTTTTGGGAACTAAACAGGCCCTAAGTAGTTTAGTGCGTGATCATTTGGCCTACAGTTGATAAACCTAAAACAACACATAATCAACCGAAAAACATTTTGGATTAAAATTTTTATTATATTTGCATTATTTGCTGTTTAATAGCTAGCACTGGAAGGTGAAAAAAAAAACTCTCAAAATTGAGTCTAAAACTAAGTTTTAAAATTTCAAAATTTGCATGCACCTTATAACCTGAAACGAGAGCATAAAGAATTTAAAATTAAGTTTAAAATTCTAAATATTTGTTGCGGTTTATAAGCCAACGTAATTATCTGCTTCTTTTATTCATTTTACTATGGCGGAAATTTTACAGGAGACAATCTATTATATTATTAAAGGAATAGAAAAAGGAGCCTCCACGTTCGCTCTCATGGCCTAGAAATTCTCACATTAATCGGAGAAAAAGAAAAAGCAGAGTCCATATAGAAATATAATTTAGAAATAGCTAAAATTAAGAATTAAAAAATAAGGAATATTAGAAGAAGAGACTAGAGTCCATATAGAAATACAATTTAGAAATAGTTGAAATTCGGAATTAAAAAATAAAAAATATTAGAAGAGGAGACTAGAGTCCATATAGGAATACAACTAGGAAATAACTGAAATTCGGAATTAAAAATAAGGAATATTAGAAGTAGAGTATAGAGTCCACATAGAAATACAATTAGGAAATAATAGAAATTCGGAATTAAAATAAGAAATATTAGAAGTAGAGTATAGAGTCCATATAGAAATATAATTAAGAAAAAAATAGTAATTCAGAATTAAAAAATAAGGAATATTAGAAGTAGAGTATAGAGTCCATATAGGAATTTAAAACTAACTAAAATTTGAAATAAACATAATAAAATTAAAAATAGAATTTAGAGTCCGTATAAAAATACAATTTAGAAGAGTTTAAAGTCAATATAGGAATACAATTTAGAAGTAACTAAAATTCAAAATTAAAAATTAAAGAATATTGAAAGTTGAGTTTAGAGTCCACGTTGAAATACAATTAGAAATAATAAAAATTCAGAGAAAATCGGAATTAAAAAAAATATTAGAAGACGAGTCTAGAATCCATAAAGGAATATATATAATTTACAAATAACTAAAATTTGATATTAAAAATAATTAATAACTAACGCGTATATAAAATACAATATGAATATTATACATTAGTAGTTTCATAAAGTTATTATAAAATTTAACATTATGTTGTCATTTTAATATATTTGAATAATATAATGAGAAAACATATATGCTATTATATGAGAGAAAATATAATAATGTTAGCCACGCAGCGCAATCTGCGTGAGCCACCATGCTAGTTGGTAGTAAAAGTAAACAATTTAGGGGTTGTTTGGTTGGTGGCCTCAGTTTGCCACACCAAACCTTAGGCGTGTCACAATTTTTCAGGCTAGTGTTTGGTTGCGTGCCGCAGTTGAGTTAAGCCACACTTTACTAGCACATTGGCCCACGCGTCATACTCTCATTTGCTAGCCAAAGTTTGCCATAGTTGTGGCCAACTAATTGTTGGCCACACTTTATGTGGCTTGCCACAGTTATGACAAATCGAGCTGATCTTAGTACCTGACAGTCTGACACATGCACAAATCCACGGTACCACCGTGCCAGTGAATCCAGCACAAGAATCTTCAGTCAGCCATGGTCTCAGTAGGCCACAGGAGTCACGGGTGCATATCCATGAGGACCACGAGGCCTCGTTTGGATGGGCCTCATTTCCAGCCCATCCCAGTTTATAGCCCATAGATATAGATGACCTACACATACATAAAATTCTTACAGAACTCTATAAACCAAGCTCTTATTATTAACTGTTTAATTTTACTATATGGGCGTTACATAAAAAATAGGGTAAATTACTAGTACGTTTGTTAGAGTTGTGTACCCTAATTTTGTACGTATACAGCCTTTTCCAATATGGATAGGCCGTAACTGAAGCCCAAGTGCCCATGTACACGAGGCCCAAAATGGACCGAAAATATACTACCAAGGAATAAGTACACTCTAGGTCCCTCAATTTGTCGCCCAGTCTGATTTTCATCCTCGGTACAGAAAACCGAATATAACACATCCCTCAACTTACAAAACCATGTAGAAGAGGTCCCTCAACAGTATTGTGGCATGTTTTGGATGACGTGGCACACACGTGACTCCCTTTTACTAGATCCTCATCCCACGTGGCATTGACGTAGCCGTTTACGTGTCAATTGGATCCCCAAAAAATATTAAAATCTGTGGGACCCACATGTCAGCTACACACAAAAATAAATATAAAAGGTGGGCCCATGTCATCCTCCCTCTTCCATCCACCCCCTCTCTTTCTCTCCTCTACACTGCAAAAAGGGAAGCGGCGGCGGGCGGAGTGACAGCGGGCGGTGGGCGGAGAGAGCGTCGGGCGGAGCAGAGGGGCGGCGGGTGGAAGCGGAGCGTCGGCGGGGCGGCGGGCGGAGCGACGGCGGGCGGTGGGCGCCGAGTGAAGCAGAGGGGCGGCGGGAGGAAGCGGAGCATCGGTGGGGCGGCGGGCGGAGCGACGGCGGGCGGTGGGCGCCGAGCGAAGCAGAGGGGCGGCGGGTGGAGCCGAAGGCGGAGCGGTAACCTCGTGCACCACCTGCTGCTCCTCCACCTCTACCGCACGCCTCCGCACCCACTGCGGCACCTGCTTCGGGTCGCTGTCGCCGGTCACTGCCGAGGCCATCTCGCCTCCTCCTGTTGGACGCGGTGACCGCCATAGATCCGGCAGGACTTCATTCCTAGGCCTACCTCGTCGTCGTCCGGGCAGCGGGTGGTGGAATCAGGCGTTGATGTCAGTGACGGGTTTTCGCTAAATCCACCTCCATCGTCCGCCACTGACAAGCTCGGGCAGCGACTCGTCGCCATATTTTCTTTTCCCTCCTTCCGGCGCGCGGGCGAGGAGTCGTGGCGGCGGCTGGAGCGAGAGGAGCGGCGCACGGCGGCGGGAGAGAGGAGCGCCGCGCGGTCAGCCTCCCTGTCTCTCCCTCTTTCATCCGCGACGAAGAGATGGGGGTGGAAAAGGTGGGGTCCCACTATTTTTTTGTTTGACTGACGGGTGGGTCCCGTATATTTTGTTTAGTTTTTTTTTTCAATTTTACTCCTTTATTTCTTTTCGGATCAAAACGCCACGTCAATGCCACGTGGGATGAGGACCTAGTCAAAGGGAGCCACGTATATGCAACATCATCCAAAACCGGCCACAATACTGTCGAGGGACCTCTTCTGTACAGTTTTATAAGTTAAGGGATGTGTTGTATCCGGTTTTCTGCACTGAGGATGAAAATCAGACTGGGCGACAAATTGAGGGACCTGGAGTGAACTTATTCCTACTACCAACATGTAAAGAGACGACCACGAGAAGGCCCACGCCGAAGAAGGGAGAAGGCCTCAACTCGCCGCGGCTATCGCGCTCGCGCCGAACACGACGAGCTGAGTAGGGGCGGGTTCGCGTACGGCCCCCTTAGCCACCCATCGGCGACGTGGTGGTACGCCGCCTCGGTGAGGTGCACGCCGTCCCAGTTCACGTACGCCGACGGGTCGCCGCACACGGTCACCCCCGCCATGCCGCACTGCGCGCTCATGTTGAACTCGAAGTTGTACCGCCCACCGCCGCTGCCGCAGCAAGCTCTCAGCGCGCCCTCCTCCCCGTCGATCCCTGCGCCGCCATATATATGTTCCGGTGACATGAAAATCCAGAAGCTTAATTAGCTCTGAGGTCTGAGCTATGGCGCGGCTCACCGAAGCGGCGCGGCGTCGCGGCGAGCTCGACGAGGGGGGTGTAGAAGTCGCCGTAGATGATCCTCGCGCCGCCGAGCTGCGCCAGGGCGTGGCGTAGCTGCCGGTTGTGCTCCATGGACAGCAGGTTCAGGCTCCTCAGGCAGCCGGTGTCCGGCTCGTAGTCCGCTTCGCTTGAGCCCGCGAACAGCACGAGGTTCGCTGACGAGCACCCCATCGGCGTGATTCCCGACACGAACACCGTCCTCGCGCCGCCGTCGATGAGTTTCTGGCTCAAGAGAAGTTGAGTTGAGTAAAAAGTGTTAATGGTGCAAGGTGTTCGTCCGTGATCTGATCACCTGTGTGGCCGCGCGGATGGTTCCGACGACTCGGGGTGTGAGAGACCTCGCCTCGTCGACGCCCCTGCCGGCGAGCAGCACGGCGGAGTAGTCGTTCCATCCGAGCTCGCCGACGAAGAACAGGGACTCGGAGAAGTAACCCTCGCACCCACCTGGCTTGCAGCCGCAGAGCGACGGTTTCATGCCGTCGAGCCACCCGAGCTGGTCGCCGAGCGAGATGTTGAACGGGGACATCACCGTGAAGTTGTTGGCCACGAAGAACGCGCGGTCCAGCGCCGTGCCGCCGGCCGTCGCGAAGTTGGCGCCATGCTCGAAGCTCCGGTTCGCCGCGAACGACGGCGGAAGCAGAGGGAGCCCCAGCGCTTCGGCTACAAAACAGTAAATCAAACGTCATTGTCAATTCGACAAATTTTGGCAATTCGATCGAAGCACGAGCAAGAAGCCAAGAATTGAATCAAACACAATTGGAAAGACATTTACCGATGAAATCGATGATCAATCTTCCATCGGAGAGGCGGCCGCTGGGATGGTCAAAGAATGTCATTCCGTACGGCGGTTTGGTCATCACGAGGTCGGTTCTCGCCGGACCGTAGATGAGGACGATGTTGCCGGTGTCGGAGAAGGAATCTCCGAAGCTAAAAATGGAGGCGTAATCCGTCTCAACCGAGAAGGAGAAGCTCGAGAGCAACACAAAAATCTGTATCCACAGATATTTCTGCATCATGGCTTCTCCTCCTGATTTCTGAAGAACAAAACAACAAGATTAATAACTACTGTAGGCGATTAATCCCTGCTCCTGACGCATAACTCTGAGTTACATAGATGTAGTGGACGGCCCAACAGTTGAATATATAGAGAATCCCTGATTTAAGATGATGGAATTGTCACGGGCGGTGATCAATCAAAGTCAACTGTTCTGAACAGTAGATGGCTAGTACACTGTGATGTTAACAATGTGTGGACATGTGCTAGGCCACGCACTCTCATCCAAAAATGAGTATGGCTAAGTTATTGACAACATTAGCTTTGGATTATAGTTATGGCTGACATCGGATCTAGATCTGGTTAGTTGTTCCCATATGTGGAGATTATGTGAAAATGGGGCAAAGACTGCAGAGAATTGCTTGCTAATGCCCAGTGACCTACGTCTCAAAAAGAATAAATTCCTCGATTCTCTTTAAAACGGAGGGGGGGGGGGGGGGGGGGCGCAGGAGTGCAAAGGGCTCCGAAAAGAAACGCAGCGATGTGTGGCGATTCTAGCTTGGGAATGTTGCATTTAGCTAACGAAGGAACTCGCAACACAAATCGGCCCAAAATGCATTCACCTTGAGATAAAAGCCCAGTTATTTGCTCGTTGAGTCACAGTGGACTTAGGAATAAGTTCATCTGACATCTCTTAACTTGTCAACGAATCCGATTTCCATCCCTCATCCGGAAAACCAGACACAACGGGTCCCTTAACTATGAAAAGCGGAGCAGATTAGGTCACTTGGCGGTTTTGAGAGCGGTTTTGGCTGACGTGGTATCTATGTGGCTAATTTGACTCGGTCTTCGTCTGACGTGGCATTGACGTGGCGTTTACGTGGCAATTCGATCCAGAAAAATAATAAATCCTATGGGCCCCACATATCAGTCTAACACAGAAAACAATAAAAAAATGGTGGGACCCACGTGGGCCCCACATGTCAGTCCAACTCACCCCTCCTCTTCTTCCTACTCTCTCCCCATCTCCCCTCTCTTCATCTCTCTCTCTCCTTTCCTCTCTTCAGGCGACGGAGAGGCAGCGGCACGCGGCGGCGATGCGGCCGAACAACGCTGCCTATGCGGAGGAGCTCGGCCGAGCGACGGCGGCGCCGATGCGGCGGGGCGCGGCTGAGCGGCGGCTCGGCGCGAGCGTGGCCGCGCGGCGGCGTGGCCCCGGCGCGGGCACAACGCGGCTCGCGGCCTCGGCGGTGCGGCTGGGCAGCGGTGCCGATGTGGAGGAGCTCGGCCGAGCGACGGCGGCGCCGATGCGGTGGGGCGCGGTTGGAAAGAACAACACAGAATCAATCGACACCTAATTTTTATCGTATTTCCTTTTATGTTGTTTTTCCTTCTCTTCGTTTTGCTCCTCCCGATCTACTGCAGGCGGCTGTCATCATCATCGTCGTCCCTCCGGCCGACTAGTGGTGACGCTGTGTCGGAGCAGCTGCTGCTGCGTGTGCATCTACGCAGCAGCGTTGGCGCATGAGTTAGACGCAGCAGCAGGTGAATTTTTCTGTTGCTTTCCTGCGATAAATCTTGGTGGCAACATTTTCTTCTTCTTTCCTCGATTCTCTTCTTCTTCCTATGGCGCCGGTCGCCGTGGGGAGGCGCTCGCGGCTGCTCGGGCGGCGCGGCTCCTCCGGCCATGCGCCCCGCCGCATCGGCGCCGCCGTTGCTCGGCCGAGCTCCTCCGCATAGGCACCACTGTCCGGCCGCACCACCGTCGCGTGCCACTGACTCTCCGTCGCCTGAAGAGAGGGGAGGAGAGAGATGAAGAGAGGGGAGATGGGGAGAGAGAGGAGGAAGAAGAGGGGTGAGTTGGACTGACATGTGGGGCCATGTGGGTCCCACCATTTTTTTTATTATTTTTCTGTGTGAGACTGACATGTGGGTCCCATGGGTTTTATTATTTTTTTCAGATCGAATTGCCAAGTAAGCGCCACGTCAATGCCACGTCAGATGAAGACCGAGTCAAATTAGCCACGTAGGCGCCACGTCAGCCAAAACCGCCCTCAAAACCGCTAAGGGACCTAATTTGCACCGATTTTGATAGTTGAGGGTCGGGTTTTCCGGATGAACTTATTCCGTGGACTTATTCCTATCCAATGCGTCATGACTCATGATCCTTGCAGTGGGCCGATGAGAAAGGTTGGAAGGCTGGCCTTGTTTGGGTGGGCCCAATTCAGGCCTATCCACCTGTGGGCCAACATTCTCTTTACTTTTGGTTGGTAATGAGAAAACAAAATCAGAGATTGGGTGGACTGCAAAATATAGGGCCTGTTCATTGTAGCCAAAATAAACTTTTACCAAAACCAAAATTTTGGCAAGTTGACAATATTGCTAAAATTTTGGCAGGAATTCTTATGTATTCACCAAATTTAGCAACAAACTAAACGTAGACATTTTTTTAGCAACTTTACCAAAAAAAATAGAGAGAATAGCTACTTTAGTCCCTAAAGTTTCTCTGTATGATCAGTTTAGTCCCTAACATTTTAAATGGTCCAAAGAAATCCTTAACCTTTATCATAAGGTCTATAATAGTCCTTGGGTCCACCAAAATCATCATATGGATATGCTATGTCATCATTCATGCAAATCTATGATGAATTGTCCAATATACCCTTACGTATATCATAGAAAAATAAATATAAGGGTGAATTAGACATAACCATAGGAAAAAAATACTTCTTTTTTCACCCTTTTCAGGTATATTTTTCTCTTACATGTACCATATATTTTTTAACTTTTTTCTTTTGTTTTTTATTTTCCTATGCGTAAGGGTAAATTGGACAAATCATATAGATTTTACATAGGAAGGTGGCATGGCATGTCCATGTGGCGATTTTGGTGGGACCAAGGACTATATTAGCCAACATGACAAATTTAAAAGACTTGTTTGAACAATATGAAAGATTAAGGACTAAAATGACCCAGGAGCGAAACTTTAGGGACCATATTAGATATTCTCCAAAAAAATAATATGGTTGAAAATGACATCAATCTGAACAGCCTCGTAGTACTCATTGACTACCGACAACGTATGATCAAATTATATCGAAAAATTAAAATAGTTTTTCTAATTAGAATAGAAAACCAATCGGTTTGTGTTCTTGAGCAACCAGAACATCCGATTTTCGGGAAAAAAAATGGCTTTTGTCCGTTTTGTAAACCTTGCTCCGGAGTACAAGAGAGCAAAATGGAACATTTTCTGATCGGAATGGGGAGCTTCGCGTTTCTAAGGGAAGCAGATCGTCTGACGTTAGGCGAACAACGCCATAGGGACGTCCAACGTCGATCCATCATCCGATCGGCATCTCACGGTGCTGCTGCTTCCTTCGTTCCGCATCGCACGAGCGCGGCTAGGACGGCCCATTCAACCCATTTACGAGCAACCGCAGAGGGACAAAAACGAACGAGACTGCTCGTCATTCGTCAATCTGCCATCGCGCAAAAAAAAGAAAAGAAAAAGCAATCCCCGGCATGGCTGCCCGCCGCTCCGCTGCGGCTCGCTGCCTTCCTCGACGCGGGTGTGAGAGGAGAGGACTACCGAGGAAGACTGCTTTGACCTCGCCCTCCTCTCCATCCCTCGGCCCCATGTCCTCCCCCACGCGAGAGCTTGCCGTCCTCAACAACGACGGCTTCCACAGCGGCGGCGGCGGTCGCACGAGCGCAACGAATAAGGCGGTCAAACGGGCTCGCGGTCAGCCCATGCCAATGAAAATGGCCCACAAACATCCTCATTGCCGTGCGCCGCCGTTTGTTGCTCTGTTTCTGGAGGGAAAAAAGGGTGCCATTATACTCAGATGGAGGGAAAAAAAGACCATTTGGCTGTTGTTCTTATGGCGATGAAGATGGTGAGCGAGCAACAAGAAGCTTTTCTCCACTTGATCGTAAGTCTGCACTAGTTATCTATCTTCTTCTATATCCTTCATGAATAGCTTCTTAGAATTCATCAAACTCCCTTTATTAAGTTGCCCCCCTTGCCATCAAAGAAACGTCAGACTGAAGATACAAATCAAATTCTGCCATCTAACTCGTGAGATGGAAGGAGATAGGTTTGTAATACATCTCCATGCTCATGTATTCTTTTCCTTTTTGTCATATGTATGCACTAGTCTCATATTTTTTTTATAGAGAAATGCTAGTACCATGTTCTGTACCTCATATTGGAATGGAATTCAAAAGTCCAGATGAGGCTTGGATATTTTGGCATCACTATGGAGGTCAAAAAGGCTTTGAGGTCAAGAAAAGGTACACAAACAAAAGACATCAGATGACAAAGTTACATCATTTAGATATGTTTATGGAAATGAGGGTCATCGAGGACAAGACAAGAGGGATCATCTAACAAAGTGTCCCCGAGCTGAAACCCGCACTGATTGTCAAGTCCGCATGGGTGTAGTATTGGACAAAAAAGACGGAAAAGTATAAAGTGACTAACCTAGTTTTGGAACACAATCACTCCTTGCACTTACGTGAAACCTTGCACTTGATGGTTTCACAAAGGAAAATTTCAGATTTACATGCTTTTGAAATTGAAACAGCTGATGATGCAGGAATTGGGCCAAAGGCAGCACATGAGTTGGCTAGTCGCCAAGTCGGTGGATCACATAGTCTTAGCTATAGCCTTCGTGATCGCAAGAATTATTTGCGGAGCAAGCGGCAAAGAGAGATGGCATATGGTCAGGCAGGTAGCATGCTTATGTATTTCTAGGAAAAAATTGCTGAGAACCCATCATTCCAATATGCATTGCAAATGGACAGTGAAGAACAGATAGCAAATATTTTCTGGGCTGATGCTAAGATGATACGTGACTATGCACATTTTGGGGATGTTGTTAGTTTTGATACTACGTTTGGAACAAACAATGAGAGTAGGCCTTTAGTGTCTTTGTTGGATTCAATCATTTTAGACAAACAATAGTTTTTGGTGCTGCTCTCATGTATGATGAAACATTCGACTCTTTCAAGTGGCTCTTTGAGACTTTTCTAAAAGCACATAATGGGAAGCATCCCAAAACAATATATATAGATCAAGATATAGCAATGGGAAAGGCCATTGAGTACAGAGTTGTTGGTGATCCTTCAGAGCAGACATCTATTTGCAGCTGTGGGCAATTTAATAGGATTGGAATATTGTGTGGGCATGCTCTAAAGGTTCTTGATTTGATGAACATCAAGTCACTTCCAGCACAATATATATTAAAGGGATGTACACGGGAAGCAAGGAGTGGAATAGTAACTGACAGCAAGGGAATAAATATAATTGAGAACCCAATGATGGAAGCTTCCCTTCGCTACAAATTTCTATCCC